ATTCGCACACGTCCATCCTTTATCAGCTCATAGATGACTGGTGGGGAGACGTTAGATGCAACACAACGGAAAACCACCCTCGGGCCACTGAAGGCCAGGTCAGGACCAGTCAGCACCGGGCGAAAAGAGCTTGATCCACCTAAAGAAGCAAATGAAACAACTGTGCATGCAAACTTGAAACTATAAAAAGATTTTAAACTATGCTCAATAACACCGGCTAAGTACCGTTCAGTCTATGTTGCTACCCTTACCTGTGACCTTAAGCTGTGTGTAGTGACTGAAGGAAGATTGTGGGTTGAATTGTAGAAATTAGGTTCTTAAAAAGGGTGACTGGGGTCGGCCTCAGAGACAAGGTGATGAACTCTATGATATGTTTGCTCAGCGTAAAGATGCTATACAGCATCAACATGCAGCGACCTAGGTAAGTGACTTTGAGCGTACAATTGTGGTCAGAAGTTTATTTACAACTTGCGTGGGCATGGATTTCATTGTAATATTGGACTTTTAATGATTTATTTGAACTGTTTTTCCCAGGCTGTAATGTTAGTACGACACTGGTACAAAATTATAGATACCTTTGATGTGTGGAATTTTTTCCCCCCTTCCTGATTTCTTAGTTTTTTTGTTTTTTTTTAAATATTCGTCACTCTTTAAAGTTTCAGATAATCAAAAACATTTTTAATGTTAAACTAAGAAGTAAATGCAAAAGCTCTCCAAACCTACCTGGACCTATCTGGAAAGGTAATTTCCCCCGCTTGTTAAATCATGAATTATTTGGGAATTTTTAAAAGCTGATTTCATTTTCACTAGCCACACCCAGGCCTGATTACTGGAAGACCTGCTGCATCAAGAAATCACGTAAATACAACCTTTGAGAGGTGATGTTAGAAGAGATTCAGATTATCTGAGGCAACTGTGTGATGATATCATGTCAAAATGGACCAAAATCTCAGAGGGATGTTTACAGCACTTTGTGGAATCACAAAAGCTTTTCAGGCCATGTTAGGCAAAATTCAATGAGTTGTGAAACAAATTACAAAAAACGTTCATTTCTTTAAAATTAAGAGTAATATGTAATCTATTACTTTTCTTTTAGTAACAACCCCAGCAATGGTGATTTGCACCTTACAGGGACCAGTCTTTAACTGCTGTTAGCAATTTTGTACATCAATAATAATAAAAAGGTCCTAAATCACATACAGGACACTCATTAAGCCATTTAGCTTTATAGAATTTGAAAAGTGGTTTTCCTGGTATTACCGACTACTGACTGATATCTGTAATTACAGCCAGCAGACACAGGGAAAACAAAGACACATTAGAAGTTTTATGCTGTGAAACAGCAGGGATAACCACAGCACCACTATGCTGACTGATACAAAATGAAACACATCAGACATTATTGAATGCTTTTCATTAAAGTGAACAATAAAACTTTAAAATCTAAAGAAAATATCAACTTTCTTGTTGTTTTTGTTCGAACACTGACTGTCCACATTACTGTAACCTTGTTTCTGAAAGTATTTTTAAGAAGCAAACATCTGAAAAGCGTGAAGATCTCTGTCATCTTAGCCACATATCTTAAGCACCCAGTTAACACACTTACTTATCTTGACGAGGAAACTTGCCACAGCTGGAAAAAACAACACACACATTAACAATATTATTCAATAATAACAATAATAAATTTTCCCAGTTTTACATCAAATTAATCAACTCACCCAAAACTGGCAAAAAATTAAGAGCCTGACGTTTCTCCATAACCCTCTCATGTACCGTTGGGCATGGTTTCTTCAGCTTGCCAAGGCTTGCAAGGGTGTTACACATGTGTTGCAAGCAGATAACATACTGGGCTGTTAACTTCATTTTAAGGATCTCTGTGATGTCAAATGCAAATATGGCTAAAATGTGCACAAAGATTTTGATCAAATTGGAGAAAAACATGCACAGTCAATATTAAAGGACACAGTGAGGCCACAGTTAAAGTCTTTGAGTGACCGTGACCGCCATACTTTCAACATATTTTGTTTACTCTACAAGTGTATGTGTATGTGCATACATTCCTTATGTACAACAAATTGTATCCGTAACCTGCATAAATCCGCACCACACCCAAGATGTTAGGAGAAATAAAAGAATGAGCCTGCTTCCTTTTGATGAATAGTTTAAATGCTTTTGATTAACATGTCAAAAACATTCAATACAGTTAAAGTGGTAAAAGCTCTGATATAAGTTTTTCATTCATCTTCCATGGGAATAAGTTTATTTATTTAGCTTTTGGTATCTTTATTTATTTGTTTATTTAAGAGGGACAGTGCACATTAAGGGACATCAGCAAAAAAGATGCAAGCAGGCCAGCTGCTCCGGACATGGGACAGTACACAGATATAGAGGTTTCTCCAGTGACATTATGCACACATTGCTCAGGTGTTTTCCACCATATTGGGTGTGATATAACCATTACTAGAGAAAAATGTGTTTTCCCCGACTGTTTGGCGGTGGTTCTGGAGGTTACAAAGAAGGTGCTGCACCAAAAACCACCTACTGATTGCGTTGATTACTACCTGGTTGCCTGTAGTTTTCCACGTTTGTCTTCAAACATCTGCTAAGTATTAGGGGTAGTAAAACCTAAAAAAAAAAAAAAAAGTGTGACGCAACTGGAAATGGTGAAAGTTTGCCTTCAAGGTATAAATTGTGCCTTAGAGCTCCAACATGTTTCAAAAGAAAGCTTTTACTGTGAAGGCAAATGGTCTCCAGATTATTATCCCACTTTTCACTACAGCTCTGAGTAGCTGGACAGTGTTTATAGACAAGTCTATCACTTCCATTCAAACTACCACCTCAGCAATATTCTACCAAAGGGCACGGGCTTTTGCCAACCAGTCTGGGATACTTTTTTTCCCCTCACGACTGGTGATTGGCAGCTGATCAACCACCAGTATGACTAAGGTTTTATTCACTTGGCTCTAGAATGGCTGACAAGTTAAGCTCATGTGGTTAGTGGTCACGTCTGCAAAACATAAATATAACAAAACATGCATAAAAACAACAATGCAAAGACGTTACACAAAGTTAAAAAAATCGTCACGGATCTAGTTAGCCTTCACACAGCTCGAATATACCGATTTAACGAAGACATTTTTTTTTTACCTACATTGAAAAAAAAAGCCTTATAATTTAGCAACTATAATTCTTGTGAGTGTGGTGTGTATTGTCAGCATATAGCAAGTACCATATAATGGTTTAAAACACCATGTTACATTTGACCTCTGACCTCTCCTTCAGTAGATTGATCTGAAGGTCAAAGTGATGATAATCCTATATAGAATTATTTAAAATGACATCAAGTGTTCAAACTGATAAGAACATGTTCATATGTGATGCTCTGTGAATATAGTTTATTTATTTTATTATGATGTTATTGTGTACAGTAACAGGTTTTAACCGTTTAAATACATAACACTTTGATGTGTACAGGGTTCCCCAATAAGAATTTTTTGGGGGAAAACAAACTTGTCCTCAAAAACTTTTTTCACTTGATATTTCTGCCAAAAATGTAATTAAATTTTAATAACTGCAAAATGAGCATGACACATGTAACATATACATAAATAAAAAAATAAGTACACACAAAATTATGGAAAGTAGACTAATGGGGAAATAACAAAAGTCCACACTTTGTACTTGTTTTTACTGCACTGCAAACCTCTTGAAGTATGTTTAAAAAGAACAGAAAACAGGATGGACAATGTACAAAATACAATACTGTTCCTGTAAAAGTAAATACTGCCCAGAGAGTGAGACACCTTGGTGGACGTTTGTGCTCTGAGAGTGCTTCTTGTTTTAAACGGCTTTACTCCCATCTGTACTAACACAGTGATACTCATTAAACCAAGTTGTGTCACTCAGGGTGTTAGGTACTTTCAGCTGCTCCCTTTATTTACCCAAGGAAATAATTTGGCAACCCTCCCACTGATCCAGACTTGGGACCGGCACTACCTCGTGACCACCTGAGGCTGGATTTGTCTCCTCCTGGAATTAAACTTGAGATCCTTAACAGATTAACAGATAAAACAGCAACAAGTTAGTAACATAACATGCCTAGTATTGTCCGTGCACGCTACCACTGTAATCTGGACTCAGGAAACATCTGTATTCATGGACAAGTGCTGTTGTTTTGTTTGGCTGTCTTCCCTGCCTCGAGGCAGCAAACCCACACACATCTTTGTGTTTTTATGTGTTAAGCCCACTGAGTTTATATGTAATGAAATGTGCTATAGAAATAAAGTTGTTGCCATTAAAAGGAGGAAGGTTTTTATAGTTAACCCCTTAGCAGTCCTACAAATTTACAATTAGTCCCCTAAACCATCCAATGTACCGTGGGCGGTACGTCCGACTGCTAACAGGTTAAAGTATTTACAATATAAAAAGGGAAAAGGGGGAAAAGATTAAATTTGTGGCTCTTATCTTTTATAAAGCAAGAGTTAGCCTGCACTTTCTTTTTCTTTTTTTCTGCCACCTGACACCTCGGCCTGGCTGTCAGCAGCCAGAACCGTATTTTAGTTTTAAGAGGAAGTCTGTGGAGACCAAAGCCACTTTTTAAAAGCATAGATGGGATGTTTTTAGTGACTGAGCGTGACGTCCTCTTCAATGACCGCAGAAAGAGCTCAGTGGTGCTTATTTCGCTGTCTCAGCATCGTGGCGTGCTGCTTCACCAGGAAACGCTTATCAGAGCTGCTCTGTGGGGGAAACACATACATGCAAATTTTTAAACAGATTTAAAGAAATGCTTGAATGGCAGTCGTTCAGGAGCCTTTGATGCTCTCGACCTAGCTAGTAATGAGCCATATTGTCATGTAACTTTGCACATGTGCAGTAGAAAAGATTTTATGTAGTTGTAGGTATATGTAGATACCTAAAAGTTATGGCTCTTAACCCATTCACTTATTTAGGAGCTTTAAAGTAACTAGCCTGAAGCATACCAGCTTCCACTTACCAGCCAATATGGTGGAGGGACTGGAAGGATTTTGGACATGTGCTTACCATAACTAGCATGTCTTTCAGTCTCTCAATGGCCCTCTGATTGGCTCGTCTCCGAGACACATACGAGGTTAAGAATATGCTGAGGAGACAAAACGAAAAGTGTTTAAACAATCTTAAAGGAGGGTGAGCTGGTAAAGGTGAACACTACAAATACAGGTTTGATATTTGTATTGGATGCGGAGTTATTTGCATACTTACATCTCTGCTAGTATTAGTGGTAGGGCGAAGGCCTCAGAAGTCAGGTAGCGGATAGCGGTCTGGGCTGGGCTGGGGAGACTTTTCACACAGCCTCCAGTCACAGTGAACATTGTTTGTTCATTTCTAAATGGACCACAGGAGGACCTTGGGATGGCAGAGGTAATACAAATGAGAGAAATGAGCAGTAAATAAAGATAAAATATAAATATGGGTTTAATTCTGATCCTAAAAGGTTTCAAATTAAAAATAAAAGAAAGAAGGACAGGCGGTGTTAGATGCAACTGCAGTGAAAACCTTACGCATTTCTGCCCTCAGTGCTTTGTAGCGGATAGTGGTTGAAGCCCAGTGTCGCTGCACACATGAAGAGACCAAGCAGCAACATGAAATGGAACAAAACTGAAGAGCTGGACCCTCGAAACATCCGCTGCTCTGGCACACAACACCGCATGACATTGAACTGAAGACACAGAGGCAGAGCAAAAAGGTTTGAACACATTTTATACTAAAACCAGACTTCTATATAGCCATTACTTAATGTACTCCACTTATTTTTATCCCCAAATCAGTCAGTTTTTCCTTCAGATTTTATTTGCCAGACGGTTTTGTTTATTTCAGCTCACCTGAGTACATCTTACCTATCTCCTTCAAGCTTTTTCCCCCCTGCTGACCTGTTTGATGCTTCTTGTTTGCTTAAAGATCATCTTGATTTGTGCCTATCCTTTAACAATATTTTTTTAAAATCTGATTTAGGATGCTATTTTAGTAGGGTTACTCAAAACACTGGCTGGAATTGCATAAAAACTTTACCAGATGTGGGGCTTGGACCGGAAAGCGATTAACCTTTGGATCTGATGTGGAAAGGATTTATTTTAAAGATCTTTACTATTGTAAGAAAGGGCAACATTTTGTGTTACAGCTTCCCAAATGTGTGTTAAATTGTATCAATTGCCTGTGTCTATGTGTTAACCCTGCAACAGACTGGCGACCCGTCCAGGGCGTACCCTGCTTCTCTCCCCAAGACAGCTGGGATTTTTCTTTTACAGATTTATTTAACCAATTTACAGATAGAAAATAATAAAGTGAGGAATATAAAGAGTTTATAATAATCTAACCTTTTTAACGTAGAACGTGACAACCAATGAAACGATTCCTATGACAGGCAGCAGAGGGCAGTAATAGACTCCCACCCAGGATACAGTCTGACTGTAAACAAGGTCCAGCACATTGAATGGTATCAGGAAGCGCTGTTTCCCTGATATTCGGGCCAGCGAGGATCTTGGATACGTCTCTTGTACCAACCTGTTAAAGATAAGGGAGATGGCTTAGATCGAATCTGTCCTGTCATCTACTAAGAAGAGACATTGCTGATCTTTCCATTCAAACCACAAAGATGACTGAGAAAGAAACAGACTGTTAATGTCAATCAAACCCACTTCCTGGGGTAGTTAAAGAAAAAGACACTGAAGAAAGTTGCGAGGAAGTTGAAGATGGACAGCTTGTACATCTCTCTACCAAACTGGTTCTCCTTGCACTGAAACAGTGAAGAGACACAAAGATTCTGTTTAAAATGGATTCAAAAAAATAATTTAAACCCTTGATGATGTGTCATTAAAGCTCTGTATCACCTTGGCATCTTGCTCAGTTGTTGTGAAGACAAAAAATAAATAGATCCCCAAGGAGGCCAGCTTTAAGAAGATGCTCCTGAAGAAAAGAAACAATAAATATGCAAATACATGTGTGCCTGCATGTAGAGTAAAAGTTGATGTCTCTTTTCAGCTTACCTCAAAAGCGTGGCATTCACCTGCATGGTGAAGGAGTAATCTTCAAAAGATGAGATCTTACGGAAGATGTGGGGCAGGACTAGATTGACAAAGGTGATGGTGATGGGAGGAAAATACTGGAGGAGAAGACTGACCAACCAGTGGTGTCCAGAGTTCTCCTAAGACACACATACATTATCAGCTATTAAGGAAATTCAACAAATACATACTTGAACAAAGCAAGAATATTTATTTACTTTAGGAATGAGAAAACCAAGAAAGACAAAAGTATTGTTTTAAAAAAGCATATTTGTTAGGTGTTAAAGGACAGAGGGCCCAAATTCAAGACACGGAAGCACATTAAACAACAAAAAGGTAAAACTTTTATGGTTGTTATTTAAAAAAGAAAAGAAAACGGAGACACAGAAAGTCAGCTTGCCTTAAAAAAAGAGCTGACATTTAACAAGGGACTGCACAGAGGGCTGATTAGGCAAAGGTGGAAACAATGAACACATGTGGAAATTAATATGGGGCAAACAAGCTCTAAGAAGGGAAAATAGGAGCTAGAGACACAGAGAGTATGTGTGAATAGAAAGTATCAATTAGGAAGGTTAGAGAAATGACTCAGAATGAACTGCATGGCAGTCACAATAAGAGCTGTTTGAATTCCCCAAATACCAAGGATACTGATTCCTTTATTAACTGCTGCAGCATAGGAAACACCAGGCCACCCTTTATGAAAGGAGATCATCCCACATGCCATCCCACAATAATAGTGATGTGCTATCCAACTATTTATGAAAACAGTTAACATAATTGACCAAGTAGCACAGGTCATGTAAATGTTTAAAAAAGCAGATAGAGGTAATCTTTTTGGACTATTTGAATGTACCTGGAGAGAGTCCTCAACAAGATAAAACAGGAGACAAAACAGAAGGAGACAAAGACAAGTGCGGATAGAAATACTAAAGTGGGGAGCAAAATCAAATAACATAATACATGCTAAAGAGGAAACCACATTATTTAGCAATACTTGGCATCAAACCATTACCTTTTTCAGAGATGTTTGTGTGGCGAAGTAGATGAGGTAAAAGGCTCCACCAAGCAGAGATAAAGTAATCAGGTTCAGGACGATTCTGAGCAGGTAGAGACGGACCTTCTCTCCAAGTGTCCTTTGAGCCGCCCTTAAAGAGAAACTCTGCTCCTCCAGGAAAAGCTGTAGAGGAGCAGAAACTATTGTGATGACCATATCTGATCCACACCGCTACCCAAAGACTCCAGAAAAACATCAGAAGTACAGTAAACACATACAGAGCCCCTAAACTGTCCGCAGCTTTCCTTTAAAGAGTGCTGACCACTGCGCCACCATGCTGCACATGATTTTACCCCACGGGTGTTAAAGGATGTTTGTGAATGTGATAACTTGAGAACAAGGAGCTGTGTTTTGAAATTCATACCATAAGTGCATCCACTAACGAGTTCAGATCTCAGTGATCTCAACCTCAGGGTCAAGGTCAGAGGTCAAGTTTTGTGAAAATCTTGTGAATGTGGTAAGTCGAGAAAGAAGTCACGTAGGATTTTCAAATTGATACAATACGTGCATCCAGTAGGAGGCTGAGGGGGCGGTCACTGGTGGTCTTACTATTATATTTATTTCGTTTTATTCTTCTCTGAGGCGTATGTTTGAAAACATAGTTAGACTTAAAGCCTTCACAAACTTTTCAGAAACTTCACCACCAGTTTGGCTAATTTACTATGAGGGTGTCAGTGCCTCGCCACTCACCTTGAGGTCATTTCTGATGAAGCCGTGTTTGAGAGCGGCAGCAGTGGGATCCTGGATGGTGAAGTCCCAGCCACAGAAGATCTTATAGCTCACGTTCATGCTGTAACGCTTCCCGAGCATCCAGGTGTGCTTGTAGCCGACTGTTGTTCTATCACAGGTGAATGTACGTAAATAAAACATCATTTTGACCTCTTATGTTGCATTGTTGTGGATCACTTACCTGCGGACCACCAGAATGAGACTTAAAAATATGACTGAGAAGATTCCAGCGAGGTACAGCAACGGTGTGTTCAAGCACTTTAGATCCAGGGATCCTCGTGTATAAAAGCCATAGAAGACAAGGGAACGATTCACGTAGCCCTGCAGAAAAGACAAGGAAAAGATTATGGGAAACATGTGGGGCTATTGCTAATAAATACTACACGTAGATTAGAACACAAAAGCTTACTGTTCCCAAGAAGAAATCTAAAGCAGAGTCACTTTCATTAAACATTAACGGTTCTGTAAAATCAGAGAGAATAATTATTTTTAGATGTCAGCTCCTAGTTGTGGTTAATTTGCTGCCATCTGTTGTCACGGCTGACTTACCATACTTGTCAGTGCGATAAAATATTGATGGACCCACAATGAAACCCCCGATAAGAACGCAGTGTAGCAGGTTCAAGTAAATCAGATATCTGAGGAAAACAAAATAGGACTTCACCCCAACTCCAAACTTGCCTGCAACAAATAATTAGGTGAGTTATAGTTGAGTGGTTCAGTCACAGCACATACTAAGTTAATTCACCACAAATCTATCTCACCTTCGATGGTCCGGAGGGTCTGCCGCCATGGCACCAGGCCAGACAGAGCTTCTTTTATCTGTTCCCTCACCCTCTTCCTGTTGGTGCTCTGGGTTTTCCTCCAGGACTCCCAAAAATTAATATCATTGATTTCCAGCTTCCTCCTTTCCCTAGAAAATAGCATAAATTTAACGAACTCCTGTTTAATTTAACATGGTAGCTTTAGAGGTTAATCCTGATACATTTAATCAGAAATTTAACATGTATATAAGCTATCAGACATTTTATGTTTTAAAGAAATCCAACATTCGTTAATGCATAGCCTCTGACCAAGTACCAGTTAAGTGTGTCAGCAAATGATTGAGGTCTGTACAAAAAAAAGTGCTCACTTCAAACACTTTTTTGTTGTCTTAATACTTCTGTTAACACTTGTAACTGTCGTTTGGTTCAAACTTGTTTAACAATAGCATTTCTCGACCACAGCTGTAATGTGTTAAGAAGTTTTAGTCAGCTAAGATGGCTGAAACAGAAATTAAAGAGGAGGGTTTGCTGGACTGCTACTGTAGATCAAGCACCAGCATATGATAATTATGATTCAGTAATGTGCTTTTACTTTAAGCTATTCCTTGGTGCTAATACTTAATTGAGTGATTACTTGGGTAAAAGTTCTAAGAACTTGTTTTGCTTATTTGCTAAACAGCTATTCAGTGCTAATGAGTTTTCTGGGCCATGTGTAATACCCTGAAGACTGAGCATGAGCACAGTCGGGCTGAGCATAAGCCTGAAAATCAAGCCGACGGTTAGGATATCACATCCCTGTTTTTTCCAAGATCACCTCTGTGCTTTGAAAAAAATCTGGAAACAATCCTGGTAGGTGCCAATGAAATATTCCCTACAGGTGTGCGGGATCATAAGCATCATTCTACTGGGTCTTAAGTAAAAAAATGTGGAAACAACTGCTCAAAGATATACAGACGCAACTGTAATATGTTTCTTTAAGTAAATCAGTAGTATTCTATTTAAGTAATAAGTAATAACTGCGTGTTTATGCATGTATGTCAAAGTAAGACGTAGATCAAAAAGAAGCAGATTTGGGAAGTCTGTCAAAAGATTTACTCACTTGGCACCCCTCTTTCCCTGAATACACATGGGCAAGTTTCTGAGTGGCTGCATGGATGTTTTGTCTCTGGGTCCTCTGGACAGCTGGCCACTCTTTTCCCCGGCCTCTCGGCCACCCTGGTTGGTCTCTTCCGAAAAGCCATGTCTGTTCTGCTCAGGTCGGGAAGCTTGAATGCTGGGCAGCAGGTCAAATATCTCAGTCTGATAGTACTCACATGAGTCTGAAGACAGGGTGGACACTGTGCTTTCCTCTGGGGTGAACACAGAAAAGTAGATTACAGTACAAGTTTGTAAGCAAGCTGCTGTACTGTTGCTTGCTCTGTCTGTAAAAGGTAAGAAAGAGCTTTAAAAATGACTAAAGTAACTTGTTCAGAGTTAAGTTGCTTGCTTGGTAACCAAAGGTATATTTAGCTCACAGTAGAAGATCCTAATGCACATAATACAAACAACGCAATATAACAAAACACGATATGTGCACAAAGTTCCTGTTATCACAAAAAATCCCATAAAACAAACATAAAGAAACTAAAAGGAATCAAGAAAACATTGTTTCTGCACGATCTGTGCAACTTGGATATCTGAGGGGTTAAGTCTGTTAATGTCTTATCTTTTCAGCCAGCAGTGCAAAAAACAAATACGCTGTATTCAGTTTTCAGTGAGATGATAATAATACATCAACAACCATATTATTTATTTAGTTTGCACCTCCTATTGTTTTGCAAACTTGAAACAGTTTACTTTTTTCTCTGTCGCTTCTGTGTTTGAGGTAAGAACGCGCACATCTTAATAAGTCAAAACTTTATAATGTTTTACAAGATTTGTAGTGTTGGATGTGACCAGTGTTAGATTAAAACCATGAGGGAAACCAATCAACTGGCAGTAAACTGCAAAGGGACCGTGTACCGAGCATAGTACAAACGGTCAGTTTGCCATTAAGTCTCACACACTCGTACATACTGTGAGTACTGACACCATGTTAAACAAGCACAGCATTTTCTCACATACTCACACAGGCAGATTTGTTTTTTTCATTACCTGACATGAGCCTCTTAAAGTCGACACTTTCGTGCGCCTCCATTTTCCCCTTGAACTTCCTCTTTAATCAAAAATGAAATATAAAAGTAAAAAGTATCCAAACTTCTTACTTCATCTAGATAGCATTTCATCAAGCTTCTCCGTGCAAGATGCAACTTAAAGTTGTGTGAAGAGAGAAGTTACTTCCGCTATCTGCATTAAAAATATCACACACACCGTCACGCTGAAATGAAGACCTCTGAATGGCTGGTCAGGAGTTTGTTTGTTCCTCAAGCTCTCTGTGTATGGTTGACTGTTTTGTTGCAGGTGAAATATGTCAGATCTGTTCACAACGAGGGGGAACGTAACAGCTTCAGGAAATCACATGACAGGATGCACTCCCAGGCGTTGGACTGATGACAAGATTACAACAAATACACCCAATCTCACTGGACTGACAAACACTAAGTTGAAAATTTTTTAAGGCAGGCGTGTTAGTGGGTGACAGTGTGATAAAGGTTTTGGCCTGAGACAGGAGATGTGCTACAGAAAACTTTTTGGTGTTGTTTAATGTGTTGATATCCACAATTTCATTATTTTCTAATACATTCATACATTTTCTAATTTTAAGTACTTTCTAATGATTTCTAACACAGTTCGATCTGTTTACAGCTGATTGCGTCAGTGGAATCCACCACAGTGCAATGCGAAGCAAATATTTATTTTAGGCTAAATTTTAGACTTTGTTTACACAATATCTTTAAACTATCAGTGAAATAATTGGGTAAACAGTCATCATTTTCCTTTTTCAGTTAGTTCTTTACTGACTGATCAGCTGCACTTGGAAGTGTTGCACCATTTGCTCTAAGGCATCTGATTGCCGTAGCAAAGAGGCTCTTTACACCCACTCACCACACATCTAAGTCTTCTGAAATTTCCAGTCAAAACCATTTACAACGAAACATAAGCATGAGCGTCATTTCTTATGCACTCTTTCAACACCACTGGTTTCAGTTCAGTGGAGACTGTAACACTTAGAGTTGATTTTCATTTGTACTGACACACTTTTCAGTTTTATGTGATGTTACTGGGTTATTATATGCAATTTCAGGACTCGTACTTAACCGGATTTATAATTTATCTCCATTGCATCATAGGAGTAGTGTACACACTTTTAGGATGTAGACATTGCCAAGGACTAACACATGGCACACTAAAATGTGCCCATTGCTACTTTTTTCCATTAAATTATAGGGGAGCATCACCTTTTCAGAGGAATATCAAATGTAAAAATCATGATAGAGTTCAAATTAAACTGTCCTATGAAATTATGACAAAAACTAGTATGCAAAATACTGAGGTATGATCTAGAAACTGAACCTTTTAAATGAAGATTAACCAGTTCCCCTTAGTGTGCTTTACTTAGACATGCTTAAGCCAGCTGAGAAAACCACCAGAAAACCAAAGGAGAGTGGAGGAAATAAAAGATAAAACAACCCAATGTACACACATAAAAACCTATGAGGAAAACAGTTTATGGGTTATAGTTCTACAGCAAAATAAAAAGACAGCTGTGCAAGTGTCTCCACAGCTGGGGGGTGGTAGTTTGTTAGTAAACTGAGTCTGCAAATAAATTTATGTACTGCTTTCTATACCCAGTGGCAGCAAGTTGTCACATATGTCATCTTCTTAAAACCCAGTTATGTGTTAAGTTAAGTGACATAAAATAAAACTGTCATTCAGTAAAGAGCCTCATGCAGGTTATTTATAGTTTTTACAGATGTTTGTACAAGTGCGTAAAAGGGTAAGTATAGATCTCTAAGTCTTTGAATAGTTGTTAAGTCACAGCTAGGCTAGTAATGTTTGTATTTACACTTTGAAGGCCATGTAACAATTTGTGCATGTTCACAAGGAGGCACATGTCCGGTGTGGGGGCACCGAGCCCTCGACAAACACATGATTGACTCTCTGATGCTACATTATGAACATTATTGGGCTGGACTATTGTTAATCTGACAATTTCTGAAACCCTTGGCTGAAAGCATGGACGTTTACATTACTTAGGTACAAGTAAATTATGCTGTATTACTATAGATCAGACATCCCAGCATAATATAAATAATTAAAATCAATCAATACTTAGCTGCACCATTAGAGTGATTTACATACAATTAAACAATAATTACGATCCATTATGATACCTGTCACTCAAGACATTTTACATAATGGGCACTTTTAAGTACTTTAAGGATATTTTGATATAACTATTTGTATAAATTTTGTATTATTTAGTAGGAATATGACTTTTAAGTAGAGTCTGAATAAATATTACTTGAAAAAACTTATTTAGTGACACATTTTAGTGCCACATTCAATGCTCGTGTATTTGGGCGTTTGTGCGCCAGTTTTCTTCACTGTCTTTATTTCCCCATCATACACGACCTCATTCTCTCCAACCACATCTACTAGGATGTTCTTGGTGCCCAGCCCTGCCCCACTGAAAAAAAACCTGTAAAATTGCGAATAGGACTGAACCAAGAGTGCCAACTCTGTGGGGGGTCAAATTTACATTACGTTGTTATCAGTTACGGGTCTTACAGATGAGTATGTTAAATCGTTTGGAAATCATATCACACAATAAGGTATTAGCTTAGTTTTTCGATGAGTGAAGTAATTTATATTTTATAATTTTACTAGTTTTTATATTAAAGTGGAACCCCAGCATCCTTTAATGGTTTGTCCCCGCCGTCTAGTTTAGTTTGCCGAGTGTTATGACTGACAGCGGTCGGTTACTAAAGATAAGCGGGTTTGTTACGATTCTGAGTAGGTGAGTGAATACGTTTGGTGACTCTTTTTTGAGAGTTTAGCTGCTGTTTATTTTCATTTGCTTCTGTTTGCAATTTCTATTCAACTTGGTTAAAGTTCAACTTCAGTCTTTGGCAACTTGTCGACCGCCTCTTGTTAGAGTTTAAGCTAACCGACGGCAAAGAGAGAAGTTGGTGTTTTTAAAGGGCTCTGTGACTCTGCTCTTTTTGTTTCTGTAAGCTGTGTTCAGCAGAAAAGCCTGCGGATGTAATTACAGCGTCGGAATCTCTGAATAAGCATTTTGTTGTGTGTTGTGTTACGGCAGATTTTTTTTTCAACGGTCTCCGTTTTCCCAAATTGGCAGATACGTTCAGATTAAAAGGTTGATCTGTGTTTCAGTTTGCAGTTTGGAGCTTAAAATGTTCTCACAGATAGCGCTGCTATGTCGTCAGACCGGTTGTCTGTTTGTCGAGAAGCTGATAATTGATCGCACAAGGTTGGGATGAGTCGGAGCAAGTTTACCATTTACTGTGCTGTTTAAAAAAGAAAAAGAAAGAAAAAAAGTTGGATCTAAAATCCTCACCATAATTTCTTATCTCCATTCATAATTAAGATCAAGCTTTTATACTAGCTTTTTAATAATTAAGTAAATAGACCTCCAAGTACATTGCACTTCTTTGACCACCCAAAGTGCTTTTTAAGTATTCAGACATAGATACTGTGAGAGATGATAAACAAACATATTTTTTCTATATCTCCCAATCTTTCTTTAACAAGGAAGACGTAATAGGTGCACTACTGGCATTCATTTAAATCTGTGTTGTAGTTTGCAGTTTCTGTGATGTAGCCAGGAGTAAACCTATCATTTAGAGTCCTCTGTTCTGAATTAAAGAGACTATTGTGGGCCTGAATAACAGTGTGACTGCTGTGTGTGTGTGTGTGTGTGTGTGTGTGTGTGTACGTGCGTGCATGCCTGGCTTTGTTAATTGCATGCACATTTGCATTATTGTCTATTACGGTATGATCTTTACAGTTTTTATTGCTCATCATATGCCCATTCGCCCAACCTTTATGTCCTTTACAGTTAAGCAAAGTTGCTGCAAGAAAATCTACCTCTCTTTCTCTCCACCCTTTCACGAGGCTTCACTCAAACTTTGAGGTATTGTAATCCAAGTCTTTGTTTTGCTGCCATGTTAACTGCAGCTTTGGGCTTTGCTGCTGCCTCTTGTTGGCTTTTCTCAGTACTCACTTCTCAGTTTTTGAAAGCTGGAAGGGTGGAGAAATTCCTTTTTGTATACTATCAGACCATTTTATGATCTCATACAGTGTGTTGATTTTTGGAGTGTGGTGTCTTCATTGTGACTTGGTTAAACTCCTCTTCATGGCCCTCCAGTTGGATCTGTCCAAATGTTCGTGCTACTTTTTGAGCTTTGTAAAAGACCCTAGTTTTGTCTTTTAGCCCTTCCTGCTTTGCTTTCGTTACTCCAAAAAACCCAAATTCCCTCTCCTCAGCTTTTACTTGTGCCTTTGTATTCAGTTCAATTACAGTTGCATTTCAATCTGCATGAATGATTGTTCATATTGACCAAAACATTTGTACTATACTCAAGCAACCCTACATCAAACTCCTTGTGTGCATTTTTCTCTGGCTTATTTTGTTTGGCTGTCTTTAAGATCAACTTTGACCTCCCTGCCTGGCTCTCTGTTTGACCCATTCCCACGGTATCCTGCACTGACTGTACGCTCTCAGAGGACTGCCTTAATATTAGTTGTACTTAGACATTGAAATAGGAGAAACAGTATGACAAAATACAGAGAGTGACTCAAGCTGAGCAGTGTTGTATGACCCTGCTTTGTTTGCTTGTTTGCCCTGCAGAAGTGAAAATTTGAGATAGAAATATTAGTTGCATAACAAGCAATGCGCGTGAAATGCATATGGAAAGAAATGGGTGCAGAAACATGATCCTGGAAACAATTTGGTAATCGGAAAAGTATGTTTGAAAGGGAGGGAAACCATATGTGTGCAGTAGATTGTCCTAACAGAGCCTGAAAAGAGCAAGCGCAGTAAAAAAAAAAATTAACCAATTGGTAATTCGGCATTTCTCAGCCATGGAGTCATTTAGTTGGTGACTGGACTGATATGCAGAGCTCCTCCCAACTCTTTCCATGCTGCATATGTTCACACAGAACAAAAACCAAGAGAACCAGCAATCCAGGTCTTGTCTTTTGTGTTTGTGGATCATCATTCATGTGGAATGATTAAACTAAGCACCCTTTGTTTGTTGCTGGCCCAGCAGTACAGTTTCAAAGTGGCAATCACATTAAACCAGTGGCGTCCACCTGTTTTCTGCCATGCCTGACATCAGAAGCTGAAGAAAGGATGCATCCCAAAGTTTGCATTGTTATTAATAACAATGAAAAATGATCGATATTGAATTTTACTTAAAGATGCATCCCATTATTGCAGTAGCATCATGTTTGTTTCATGTTAGTTTCATTTCATATATTCTGGTTATCTGTGTCAAAAGTTAAGAAGTCGTATGATGTATATTT